ATTAATTAGGCTATGTTTTGTTTGAAGGAAAAGGTGGGGAAAGGAAGGGAAGTGTAGAGAAACCTATACAAGGTTTGTAAGGCTCCGTTTGGTTTGTGGGAAGATTTGGGTGGGATGGGGAAAGATAGGATGGGATGGGAAAGTGTAAAAATTTAACTTTCCATTGTTTGGTTTTATATGAGAAAATAATAGGAAAATTACCCAATACAAAACAGAGTCCACCCTGCCAATCTTGAAGGACCTACCTCCTGTGAAACTGGAATCATCGGATTACTTGTTGGTGTCAGAGATTTCTTTTGAACATCAATCTGCAGAGTTCTCAGAGGTTCAATTTTAGAGCTAGTTTTGCTCGGAGGTTCAATCCACTGAGTTCTCAGAGGTCCAATCCATAGAGTTCTCGGAGGTTCAACCTCCAAAGATTAAACAAAACGCAGACATCCATCGTTACTCCACCTGCCGCCTATATTGCAGTTAGAAAGCAGAAACTGCAACCTACCACCATGGAAGAGAAAGAGAAGAAGAAACAGAGTGCACCCCCTAACGCCCACCACTACCAAGCCAAGCTCTACACTAGATTTCATCCCCCTAACGCCCACCTTCAACATCCTTATACAGTGATGAGGACTTGAGAATCCTGGAATCCCCTTTGTCGCCATGATAACTGGCGATAACGCTCAAAATCCTCAACGAGGAATCAACCACAATCTGAGCAGCGACAATCTTCTAACTCTAACAATGACGATCTGCTCAGATGCTCTGGTCTTTTTTGTTTACGGGAGGAGGGAGGGAGGAGGGAGATGGAAGTGAGGATATGGGAGGAGCTTAGCAGGTAGAGAATGAGAGGGAAGAGGGTAGCAGAGGAAGAAGTGGGAGAGGGTGAGCGGGAGAGCGAAAAAGTGTTTGTGGTGGTTGTAGAGGGGAAGAGGAGGATGGAAAGTAAGGCCTGAGAAATGACGGAGGACACAAAGCTTGCCAACACCCTAGGATCCATCTTTTGATGGTTGCTCATTTCGTATCTGGGTCTGATTTGAACGACGTGCTTCTTCTTCTTCTTCTTCTATCGCTGCTTGTTGTCGGGAATCAGATTTCATTTGGCACCCCACCAAGCACCGACGATCAAGCACATGTGACTAATATAATTTCTCCTCATTTCTCACTTTTCTTCTTCATCGAGTTGGATGCCTTGAAGGGAAGCGGTGGTGAAGCAGCAGCAGTGGTTACGAGAAGGGAAGGAGAAAGTGAAGGTGGTGGTGACAGAAGGTAGAAGGGCAAACCCAGCAACAGGGCAGAGGATGAGGATGAAGAAACCTGAGTTTTTTCAAGTTTTTCCACTAGGGGCGCACTGTTTTGGTGCGACCCCGATTGCACAATTTTTGGGATTTCCCTTGAAACAAATGAGAGAAAAAGAATATTTTAGGAATATTCCCTTTTCTCATCCCCATCCCACAAACCAAACGGAGCCTAAAGGTTTCTCTACATTTCTCTTCCTTTTCCTTAAAACCAAAACAACCTAAATGATCACTTGTTAGTGACTTTTGTACAAGATTAGCCCCCTAAAATTCTGAAACAAGCAATTTAAAAATATCTAAAGAATTTTTAGCAAGATTTTATAAAGATCATCCTCAAAATATCTAAAGAATTTTTAAAAAGATTGACCCCAAATTTTAAAGAGATTTTAAAAAGATTAACCCAAAGTATTTGAAGAGATTCTAAAAAGATTAACCCCCAAAATGTCTGAGTAAAATTAAAATTGCAAGGTCGATATCAAAAATTCTTGACGAATTTCTGAGGTTGGATGTCAAAAAATATTATTTTTGTGTAGCTGAGTATGCTATAAGGGTGAGATTTAAAATTTGCAAGGCTCAGTTTTACAAGTATTAATGTGATATGGGGTTTTGTGAGGTTTTACGGGGTGCGATTATGTCCTTAATTGTAATGAGGGAAAGATAACTCGTGGAGTTTGGAGCAAGGTCATGGGTATGGTGGTTTTAAGTTATGAGAGAGGTCATGCCAAATTAAGGAGCAAGGCCAGAGTGATGTAGTAAAGGAGAAGGCTAATAAGTTCTATGCAAGTGGGGGCCATTCCAACACACATAAGAAGTAGAGGTGACGCCACCAACGCAGCTTAGTAAATATTTTCCGATATAGCATCATCACAGGATTTCTATCTTAGTTTATTTTTACAAAGTTGGCATCATCACATAATTTCTATCTTAATTCGTTTTTACCAAGTTAGCATTATTTCGAATTTATATTCAATTAGGACTTTCCTTTTGAAGGATTTTAGTAGGATTCTATTTTGGAGTGTTTTCTTATATTAGGTATTTTTTTAAGGAATTTTAGTATGATTCTATTATGGAGTGTTTTCAGAATAGGAATAGGAATCATAAGGGTGTATGCCTATATAAAGAGTAGCTAGGGGAAGGCAAAGGCAGTTCTCTAGTTATCAGTTTTCTCTTAATTATTTAGTAAAGAATTATTCTTCCTAAAATTCAACTTCTACTCTTTTCTTTAAAGCTTTTCTCACGTGTTTCATTTCCGTACTATGCCAATTGGTATCAGAGCTCAAGTTGATCATTTTTCTTATTATGGATCCTAAGAAGAAACCCGTAGCTCATATCATGGAGTAGGAACTCAACAACAAAACACAAGAAGAGATGGCAGAGCTGAGAAGACAAGTCGACACACTTGATCAAGAGGTGAAATCGCTGCGTTCCCAATCGAAAACAGGGGACAGTGACTCCGATGCAAATACCTCCACACATTCCCTTTCATCATCAAGGCAAGCAGCAGATCAATTGTAGTTGCAGGTGGTGATCAGAGACGGTGAGAAGTAGGTCTCAAGGTTGAGATCCCAAAATTCTAGGGAGGCATGATTCTAGAAGAATTCATGGATTGGCTCTTTATAGAAGAAGAAGTCCTTGAATTCAAGGAAGTTCCAAAAAACAAAATTGTGTCCTTAATAACCACTCCGTTTAGAGGACGAGCAGCAGTATGGTAGCATCAATTGAAGGTCATGCGACAGATAAGAGGTAAGGAAAAGATTAAGACATGGCAGAAACTCAAGGAAAAGATGAGGTCAAAATTTCTACCCCATAATTATATTCGTTTACTTTATCAAGAATTGCAAAATCTAAAGCAAGAAACTAATACAATAGATGAATATACAAAGAAGTTTCATCTATTAGTGGCCCGGAATGAGTTAGCTGAAACCGAAGACCAATTGATGGCTAGGTATGGAATGAGACCAAATATTTGGGATCTATTACACCTATTTGACTGCTATAATGTTTCTATGGCACATCAACATGATCTAACCATAGAAAAACAAAGCAGCCAACCTAACTAATTGGGTCGAACCCAAACTAATGTGGCCAGACCACCCCAACGTAATAATCTTAACCCGCCTCTAAATCAGCCACAGCCTCGTGGGCCGAACCAAACCCAAGGGTGTGAACCTAATCAAAACCAAGTGAGTCCACCTGGACTGAAGTGTTTTAAGTGTGGCAAATCATGCCATAAATCTGTTGAATGTGTGAGGGGTGATAAAAGAAAAGGGGCGATGTTTGTAGAATATGAGAGTGAAACCCAATTAGAAGCATTTGACTGTTTAGCCCCACCCATGTTTGACTCTTATAATGAAGAAACCTTTGAGGGAGAAATGGTGTATGGGGATGTGGGAGAGGCCTTGGTGTTGCAACGATCATTCCTAACTCCTTGGGATGAATCATCGGATTGGCTAAGAAATAATATTTTCCACACCACGTGTACTATGGGTGGAAAGATTGCAAGCCTTGTAATTGATAGCAGGAGTTGTGAAAATGTTATAACGAAAGTAGCCATCTACAAGTTGAACCTAAAAACTCAACAACACCCTCACCCGTACAATCTTTCATGGCTAAAAAGAAAGAATGAGGTTTCAGTCACACAATGGTATCTAGTGAGCTTTTTTATTGGCAACAATTATAGTGATCATGTGGGGTGTGATGTTGTATGCATGGATGCCTACCATTTGCTACTTGGGCACCCGTGGCAATTTGAACGCTATGTAGTTCATGATGGATGAAAGAATACCTATTCTTTTGAGTTTAAAGGGAAAATGTTGACCTTGACCTTTTGCCCATTACAAGAGACTAAACCAAAACCAGATGAGGCTCTAGCCTTTTTTCCATGACTAAATTCCCAAGTGCCTTAAAAGAGAGTGGTGTTGCATATGCTTTAATTAAAAAGGGGCTTGAGTTGAAAGGTGTACAGGCTATTGAAGAGGTGAGGCCTTTGCTTGATGAATTTAGTGATAGAGAACTTAACGGCAGGATTACCACCATTAAGGGATATCCAACATTCCATAGATTTAACGTCGGGTGCTATTCTCCCCAATAAGGCCCATTACAGAATGAGTCCCACTGAACATGAGAAGTTGCAAAAGCAAGTAGGTGAACTAATGACTAAAGGGTTCATACGAGATAGTATGAGTCCATGCGCAGTTCCCGCTTTGTTAGTACCCAAAAAGGATGGTACTTGGAGGACGTGCATGGAGGAAGGTGTAGACCTCATATAATAACTGTCCTAGTTCTACCGTATMTTTTGTTTCATTTCTTCTGGAACAATCACAAACACTTTTTTGATTATGGATCTACTACCAGAAATTCAATGTGTATTCCTAAATAATTTCACTTTTCAATTATTCAACCATTTCATTTTACCAAGTTCAACGTTAGCCAGATTAGTTAACATTTTATATGTTTCGATGCAACAACAAGATGTTATTTGTAACAAGTASTTTTGTTGGTTGGTTAATTGGTCACATTTTATACATAAAATCTGTTGGATTCCATCATATGGATGGCCAAACCATGCTAGATAGTTGGGAAAATTTTCAAAAATTTCTTTCAGCCTTATGGGAATCGCATTCCCTAGTTTCAGAAAAATTGCATTTTTCTAGGATTGTTCTTGCACTGATACCGGATTAGATTTGAAACCAAAAGGAGAGAGATGTATACCTGATACAAATTCCACAAATATAGCTCCCAAAGTGGTAGTTCACGCCCATATTGAATCCCAAAACCAGCTTTCACTGAAGATGGCGCAACTTGGAGTGAAGCCGGCTCAGCAATGCAGTTTTTAGCAAAGCTACAATCCAACTGTATGGATCGAATAAGGAAGGTGAGCACAGTTTTTTCTACAATTTTCATGCAAAATTCATAAATAGAACTAATCAAGATCAGTTACAAGAATTGGAGATCAAACTAGGGTTTCTGGGCGGCATGAGTTGAGAGAAAAAGATAAAAGTATAGTGATCTGAAGTAGTTCGATCTCTCTTTTCTTAATCCATAAGAAGCACCTCTCCTAATCGAATTAGGATGTTTGTAATCCAAATCTTTATTTGGATCTGAGCTCTATCAGTGGATAGGTCTTATCCTCTTATGAGAATGGGTGCTCCAAACCCATATTCACCCAAGTCACATGACAACTTCAGCAGTCATGTGACCACTTGATTAATCATATTAATCATGGGATTCAGGCCCATTAGCTAAGTGGCTCACATCTCAAGAGATTTTTTGACTCATTTAAGTTCAATTTGTCTGGCGTGGGACCCCAACAATGACCTCACATAAGCCCATATGGGAATGGCCCAGCCTCCGAGAAAAGGCCTAGCCGAATTCACTACTATGTATAGTGAACCCTTGAGTTCATCACTATGGGCTCAAAATGGGCCTAACATTTACAATTAAATGATCCCTGAGTCCAGCCATCCTATGAAGGCCCAAGGATAATAGACTTAAGTAAGATATGACCCATTAAGTAAACAGCCCTTTAACTTATCAGTCCACAATGAACAAACACTACCTGACAGGGAAGGACCTCTCCCCTGACTACAAGGTGCAGTGTTGCACTCTCTGCTCGGATGGGTCCTGAAAATTAAAACCTTTTGCAAACATTTTTCTTGAAACATAATATATATATATATATATATATATATATATATATATATATATATCATATAAATATATTTTGCAATTTTGGTTTCCATCAAAGAGAGTGCGGTTCCGATCATTTACTTTGTCCAACAAAGGGGCTGATTTGATCACTATGATCACACACTCAAATGAATTCTCAGACTGTCCCAACATACCTAGGTTTTGACCCGTAAAGGATCTCACTGATTAGCATATCAAAGATAGCCCGATCCGATACCTAGTGCAGTACCATAATCAAGTTTAGGGGTTATGTGTAACTTTTCAGTTTTGCCCATCAATCTCAAAGGTCTAGAGCATAACTAGAAAATGGTTCAGGTTTAGTGCTTCAATCAAATACACACTACATGTGCTTCAGGTCTAACGCTAGCAATTGAGACAAGCTACCCCAATTTCTTTAGCAGCACATAAGTGTCAGCTTTAGCAGGATAAACTCCCCAAGTCTATCCAATGGCTGAGAACATTCTAAACTAACACGAGTCTCTTAAGTGTCCAGTTTTAGGGGTAATTACAGAGAAACACACCAGTGATAACATGAAACAATTATTTACTTTTATTCATTTTCAATAAATGTATATATACATCAATTTGATTGGAGCTAAGGGCATACACTATTTAACAGTACATTGACAGCTGGACAATTAATAAGAAAACCATCAAATACCGATTTCTGATTCCTTGCTTGGATGACATGTTGGCTCAGCTTTCTGGGGCCAAGGTGTTCACTAAGATGGACTTGAAATCACGCTACCATCAAATCAGAATTCCTCCCAATTATGAGTGGAAGACAACATTCAAGATGCGGGATGGTTTGTATGAATGGCTAGTAATGCCATTTGGTTTGTCCAATGCACCAAGCACAATCATGAGGGTCACAAACCAGGTTCAAAAGCCTTTTATTGGTCAGTGTGTTGTAGTATACTCTGATGATATTCTCATATATAGCGCTAATATGAACTCTCATTTGTTGCATCTTCGAGATATACTTATGACTTCACGCAGAGTGCAACTTTATGCAACCATGAAGAAGTGAATTATTTCCATAGATTGGGTCTTAATCCTTGGGTATATCATCTCAAGGGAAGGAGTTTCTGTAGTCCTAGAGAAGGTTCACGCCATTATTGAGTGGCCCATCCCCAAAACACTTACTAACGCATGAAGTTTTCATTGTCTTGCAAGCTTCAATCGGTGATTCATTAACAACTCCAGAACTGTTAGGGCACCATATACAGATTGTATGAAGGGTACAACCAATTTTGTATTCACCACTAAAGCAAAGAGAGCCTTCATTGAGATTAAGGCATAGTTGATAGTTACACCCGTGCTGGCCCTTCCCAACATCAAGCAACCCTTTGAGGTTGATTGTGATGCCTCTAAAGCTCGAATCGGTGCTATTCTCAACCAAGGTGGCCGGCCCATAGCTTACTATAGTGAGAAATAGAATGGATCACGCATCAACTACTCCACTTATGTTGTGGTACAAGTGCTCCAATGTTGACGATATTATCTCATCTATAAAGAGTTCATTCTATATTCAGATCATGGGGCACTTAAGCATATTGGGGCCCAACATAAGTTGAATGAAAGCCATGCTAAATGGGGCCGCATACCTCTAAGAATATTCGTTTGTGTTGAAACACAAGTCAAGTGTGCACAATCAAGTAGCAAATGCGCTCAGCCGAAGGAAATCCATGTTATCCACGTTCTGAGCACAGGTACCGGGGTTTGATACTTTTCATGAATTATTTTTCACTAACCCTTATTTTGCTGGTAGCAAGATGGACTTTGTGATATATGATGGATTCCTATTCAAGGGGACTTGCCTATGTATACATGATTGCTCATGGCGACTAAAAATCATCAAAGAACTTCACAATGAAGTTCATTTTGGAAGAGACAAAACAATTCATCTCATCTCAGCAAGTTACTTTTGGCCCAAGATGACGAGAGACATCACAAGGTTTGTAGAGCATTGTCACATATGCGAAGTTTCTAAGGGAACGGTAACCAATGCTAGATTATACATGCCCCTCCCAGCTCCTAAAGGACCTTAGGTAGATATATCTATGGACTTTGTTCTTGGGTTGCCACATACCCAGCGATAGGTAGATTCTATAATGGTGGTCGTAGACCGATTTTCAAAAATGGCTCACTTCATGGCATGTAGGAAGACAAGGGATGCCTCACTTATTGTTGGTTTATTCCTCAAGGAGATTGTCAAACTCAATGACTTACTGTCTTTGGAGGCTAATGAGTACCTCATTACAAATTAGCAGATCATATCCTCAAACGGATGGCCAAACTGAATTAGTCAATAGGAGCTTGGGGAACCTTTTAAGAACCCTTGCAGCTACCTATGAACGACAATGGGATCCCTTATGAGCACAAGCTAAGCTCGCCTTCAATAGGTCCAAAAACAGGAGTATCGGATACAACCCATTTATGGTTGTATATGGGGCCAACCCTCGTAGCATCCTTGACCTTGCTACTAGTACTTGGCCAGACTTAATTCATGACAAGGCTGATGATATGCTACAGAAGCTTAAGAACCTCCAAGACAAAGTCCACAACAAGCTAAAGATAGCCAATGCTAAGTATAAACAATATGTTGATGGAAAAAGGAGGAAAGTAGTATTTGATACGGGAGACTATGTTTGGGCCATTTTAACAAAGGACCGCCTACCAGTTGGCCAACATGGAAAGCTAGCACCAAGGAAGGTTGAACCATGAGAGATAGTCGAAGCCATCAATGAGAATGTGTACAGACTAAAGCTACCCAACCATATATGTACCCATAATGTTTTCAATGTAAAATACTTGGTACCTTATGTTGGTGGTCAGTGAGATGATGATTTGAATCCGAGGGCAGATTCTCCCAACCCGGGGAGGATGATGCAGTATAGGAGAATGTTGATAAGTTCTATGCAAGTTGGAACCATTCCAAGACACATAAGAAGTAGAGATGACACCACCGACCCAGCTTAGTAAATATTTACCGATATAGCATCGTCATAGGATTTCTATCTTAGTTCGTTTTTACCAAGTTGGCACCATCACAGAATTTCTATCTTATTTTGTTTTTATCAAGTTAGCATTATTTCGAATTTATATTTAATTATGACTTTCCTTTTGATGGATTTTAGTAGGATTCGATTTTCGAGTGTTTTCTTAGATTAGGATTTTATTTTTTTAAGGAGTTTTAATAGAATTCTATTATGTAGTATTTTCAGATTAGGAATAGGAGCCATAAGGTCGTATGCTTATATAAAGAGTAACTAAGGGAAGGCTAAGGCAGTTCTCTTGTTGTCAATTTTTCTCTTAATTATTTAGTGAAGAATACTTCTTATGAAAATTCGACTTCTACTCTTTTCTTTGAAGCTTTTCTCACATATTTCATTTCTGTACTGTACCAGTTGGTATCAAAGCTAAAGTTGATCCTTCTTCAGATTATGGCTCTGAAGAAGAAACCAGTAGCTCATATCATGGAGCAAGAATTCAACAACAAAACGCAAGAAGAGATGGCAGAGCTGAGAAGACAAGTCCATGCACTTGCTTAGGAGATGAAATCGTTACATTCCTGGTGGGAAACAAGGGACAGTGACTCCGACACAAGTATCTCCTCATGTTCCCCTTTCATTATCAAGGCAAGCGACCAGATCAATTGTACTTGCGAGTGGTGATTAGAGACGGTGGGAGGCAAGTCTCAAGGTTGAGATCCCAGAATGAAGGAAGGGGAAATCCATCATATGGATGGCCGAACCATGCTAGACAGTTGGGCGAAATTTCAAAAATTTTCTTTTTACCCTTCTCGGAATCGTATTCCAAGTTTTAGAAAAGCTGTATTTTTCAAGGACCATTCTTGCACCGAACCGAACCAGATTTGAAACCAAAAGGAAGGGAGAAGTATACCTGATATGGAATCCACAAGTGTAGCTCCCAATGGGGTAGTTCACGCCCAAAGAGTGTACCAAAACTAGCTTCCACTGAAGATCGTGCAGCTTGAATTGAAGTCGGTTTAGCAACAGTTTTTTAGCAAAAAAAACTAGGATTTCTGGGTGGCAAGAGTAGAAGAAGAGAACTGAGAGCATATGTGATCACTAGAGCAATTCACCCTCCTCCTTGTACAAGCCTTAAGGATCAACACTCCTAATTGAATTAGAAGGTTC